TAATCTTCTTTCATTTAGGGTAGCAGGATTAATCCCAACATTTGTGTTAGCAATACTTCTGAAAATCCAGTCATCTTAACATCTTTCACTAAAATCAAATATAAAAAGCCATCTCTCATGATCTTTATCAATGGTTATTTTTGGCATATTTAATGGGGAAGTAACCCAAAGCAGGGAAGACACAGTAAATAATGAAAAAGCAATATAGTCTCAGAAACTCCTGCATCACTAAAAAAGCAACCATATTGGAGTTCTTTCTGAGCAATAACTAGGTAACAAATATAATACAATCAGCATCATTTCTGAAAGAGCATCTTATAATAAATTTTCATTTTTAATTCTTAAAAGGTACTAAAGTCTCAAGCATGAAAAGCAGTAATGTTAGAAGTGATACTTACTAATGATAAATGCCTTACTTAAGCAAAAATACTCTTTTAACACTGGTTTGACATACACTCAAAAGTCTAAACTAGATCTTCATCAAAGCAAGAACACCCCTTATGGGTACAAGACGGCCACATGGAGCAACGGAAAGACACCGTACAAGGTGGAATAAGCATCACAGATTGCTGTAGAGATTACATAGGTTAAGCTACATGATAAGAACAGCAGAGTGCCTGAGCACAAAATATATGCTCAATGTTAGCTTACTCCATTAAGAAAAAGCTGACTTGAGGGTTTTTTGTTTGTTTTTTTTGGAGACAAGATCTCACTCTGTCACCCAAGCTGGAGTGCAGTGGTGTGATGAGGGTTCACTGCAGTCCTGATCTCCTGAGTAGCTGGGACTGCAGATACATGCCAACACACCCAGCTAATTTTCTTTTTTGGGTGGGGAGATGCAGTTTCACTTTGTCGACCAGGCTGGAGTGCAGTGGCACGATCTCGCCTCACTGCAACTTCTGCCTTCCCTGGTTCAAGTGAGTCTCCTGCCTCAGTCTCCTGAGTAGCTGGGATTACACGCGAGCACCACCATGCCCAGCTAATTATTTTTTATTTTATTTCTTTAAGTAGAGACAGGGTTTCACCAGGTTGGTTTGGCTGGTCTCAAACTCCTGACCTCGTGATCCGCCCGGCTGGGCCTCCTAAAGTGCTGGGACTATAGGCATAAGCCACCATGCCTGGCCACCCAGTTAATTTTTAAAATTTTTTGTAGAGATGGGATTTCAACATGTTGTCCAGGCAGTCCTGAGCTCCTGAGCTCAAGTCACTCACCCACCCACCCACCCACCCCAGCCTCCGAAAGTGCTGGGATTACAGGTATGAGCCACCGTGCCAGGCCTGATTTGAGTTTTTAAATGACACATAGCAGAACCTTCACAGTTTTTAATCTTAATTTTTAAATTATTTTCAACACCCAAGGAATCTACTGATTAGCATCCATAGTCAAAAAGTATAGATCCTCCTTCCAGAAAAATGCACATATATAGGCGACTTTGCCGGCTATTTCAGGACATTCACAGACCCTCTAAAACTGAGAGACTTTATGAATTTCAGATTAAGAATGACCAGAATTTGTATAATTCAAGTCTTATGTGATAATAGACAATGCTTAATGTATGCTTGCTATGTGCTAAGAATGGTGCTAAGAAATTTAATGAATTATTTTACTTTTGCAACAACACTTTGTCGTAGATAGTAGTATCATACCCACACTACAAATGAGAAAACTAAGAGAATGGTAAACTAACATACCCTATGTTACCAGGAAACATGTCAAAGGAAAAAAGTTCCCTAAAGGAAAATGCACAACGAAAATAATGATTTTTTAAAAAACCATACACAGCCAGGTACAGTGACTCATGCCTGTAATCCCAGTACTTTGGGAGGCCAAGACGGGAGGATCACTTAAGGTCAGAAGTTTGAGACTAGCCTGGTCAACAAGGCAAAAAGCTGTCTCTACTAAAAATACAAACAGTAGCCAAGTGTGGTGGCCCACACATGTAATCCCAGCTAATCAGGAGGCTGAGGCAGGAGATTCGCTTTAACCCAAGAGGTGGAGGTTGCAGTGAGCCAAGACCATGTCATTGCACTCCAGCCTGTGTGACAAAATGAGACTCTGTCTCAAAACAAAGACAGTAACAAAGACTACTGAAATAAAATAGTTCAAACCACCCTTACACTACTGTCCTACTTATGTGTGTTAACCACTCAACAGAGGTCAATCACACAAAAAAATATGGCTAAAGAATGGAAATGCTAACTAATATCCTCACTAGTCCTTGATCTTCTACTGAGGAAGAGGATGGGTGCAGCCAACATAAGCCCTGTCCTGCAGAGCCACTTCCATGAAAATGGAAATAAATGTGCATGTAAGACCCCTTGAAAGGTTGTGCCTTTCCTGCTTTGGCTAGAGCCTCTGTCACGCTGCCACATGGTTTCTATGTAAATGAACTGGCAGGAAGAATCATTTCCGACCAGTTTAGGGAGGTTCTGGGCAATGTTATCTTTGCCTTTTCTTGCCTCCCTCACTACCCCTCCCCACCAGTGAACACAGTACTTTTTATTAGAAAACATTCAAGCTAACAGATTCTCAGTACAAGTAAAAATGTTGCCTCTCCAGCACAGATAGAAAAACAAACAGGTAAGTTAAAACTTACAAAATTAAATCTGATGAGTTTATTTCATCATTAGTGTAGAAACACAGATCACATATACCTGAATATGCAAAGAAAGTTAAATTATGATGCAATCAATGCTATCCTATAAAAACCAAATTAACAAAAATAGTCTATTAGGGAAGACATCTGGTGTATCATGGCAAGAAATGTTAATGATATTGTCTGCAACCCTGTAATCAATTTTTTCTCCCAGCAGCTCTCTCATTACACTGTATTAGATCTGCGTGCCTGCAGAATTTATGAGCGCTTCACATATGGGGAAGCTTTGCCAACTGGACCTGATTCAGATCCAGCTCAAATGACTTTGGCAGCACAAAGCATCATTAAAGAACAATCAATACAGTTAGCTTTATGCACCATCATCTTGACTAAAAGAAGATTTATCCTCTCATTATAGAATCTCTCACACCTACATATAACGTATCCAAGTGCTCCACCAGTTAGGAACTTATTTAAATCCTCAGTAGACACAAGTATTTTTACTGCTAAAAAAATATATACTAGTCATCATTAATTCTAACACAAAAAGTTTACAAAAAAAAATCAATGTTATTATGGGGAAAACTTAAAATCCATTCAGCAAATCCCACTGAGTTTTACAGTAAATAAAGTATTAACAACAGCATCTACATTGATGAAGAAAATATCAGCCTGAAAGATAAAACCTGCTTTTCAGATATATGTGAAAATAAGATAGTAACTGGTAAAGGCTGAAGCTTTAGAAGTAGGCAGTCACATTGCTAATATACTAATTTGTCCCTTAAGATGTCTGTCTTAACAGACTTTTATCTATACTACACTGGGTTCTGTCTTCCACTGTAAATGGCTATTATTTCAAGAACACAAGGTTTCCATAATGTGAAACCCTCACCCCTTTTTTTGGTCTAATCCTTAAGTAATTACATCAGCAAATATGTAAACATGATATGCTGCTGCAACAATTACTCCTGATTTGGTTACAATTATTAATACACCATCGCTACTGTCTTGGTCCTTTTCATCTTACTCATGAATGGCGGCCCTAACCTCCTACTTGGTACTTTCATCATCTTTCCCCATTCCACGCTGCAAACTGCTGCATAATCAATCTTCTTAAGCAGTGGTCTGCAAGTCGGCTTGCCTCGGATAAAAGCTTACACAAGCTCTCTACTGTCTATTACGTAAAATCTTTACTTTGCTAACCTTGAAGATCCTCTATAATCTGGCCCCATCTAATACCTCCACATCTGCTCCCAAAACCCACTAACCTGTGCTCTTCAGTGATGTCCTGCAGGTCATCTTCTCACGACTCCCAGACTCGTCAGGCTCATTGCCTGTGTTGCTTTTTAGGACAGGTTGCCGTGTATACCTGGAAGGCTCCTACACTCTGCCTACCCATTTCTTACTGATGTGTGAAAAACATATCCAGCTCCTCAAAACCTACCCCACCTTTACAGAACTTCCCCAAGTGCTACGACCCATCTGGAGCACTCTCTTCTTCCCCCAAGATATTAATATTCTACATTGTAACTGAACAATTCATGTATTGATAGTATCTTGCATTGTGTGTGTCTAAGCGTGAGAGAGCTCGCTATTCTCCTGTATTATTTGCTAATTCAATATAAACTGGGGTGCCATAGTCACTTCTTTACACTGAATTCAGTGCTTAACTAAAACTACACTTCTTTCATATTAACAGAAGCCTTAGGTACCCAGTAGTCATTCAAAAAACATTACCATTAAAGGAAGGAAAAGAAAGAAAACTGTGAACTTTCCTAAAAGGAGAGACATACTGTGTGTTTTAAGGGGTAAAGCACTACAGATACTTCATCCTGCTGCCTCTTACACATCCCTCAGGACTACCACTAGTAACAGAGGAATAACCAGAGGATAGCTGTAAGAAGTAGAGCTACCGCCTGACCCAAGCCTTTTGAAGTGCTTATTCTGTATCTAGCACTGCAGAAAAGCCTTGCTAATTCTGAGCAATACTCTACAAAACGTCACCTGAGAGGACAACACCCAAAATAGTTGAGATTGGTGGGCCATGAGTCCCAATGAGCCTGGGGAAACGCACATTGCACACTTGGACTCAAACTTACCCCCTTTTTTCCCCATTTCAGTTGCCAACATCCATACTCGCTGCTGATTGCCAGCTCCTGCTCCTTGCAGCAGCCCAGCATGCTCTCTCCCTTCCACCAAACCCCGCTAACTTCTGGAACTGTCCTAGAGGGGTAAGGCAAGTCCCGTATTTTGCTTCCTCTGTGCATGTACTTGTTACTCCTTTAAAAACACATATAATACAGCACATTTTAAAAGGGGCTCTGGGGAGGGAGGTAATATTCCTATTTTATACCCTATGGGATATAAAATACTGATAGCTTTTAAAAACGGGATTCTCCTTACCCCTACAGGCCCTCTCCCGGCTTCAGAAAGATGCTGTGGTGGCTGTGATGCCACCGGCAGAGAGCATGCTGGGGGGTCACACAAAGCAGGAGTTGGAGATCTGCAACAGGCCTGGGAGTTGTGGACCTAAAAAAGAAAACAGTTTTAAGTTAACGTGCCCAATGCCCCATCATGCCCCGGTTATTAGGGGCACGCAGCACACAAGTCAGTATCTGCAAAAACTCTTTAGCAGATGACCTCTGAAACCTCAGATAATTTGTGCTACCACTAAAGTTAATCTTTTTGCATTAATCAAAGCGGTTTCCTTATTTCCGTGTGAACAAACATACGACCCTTCTGGCTCCACACTTTAATCCAGGTCCTGTCATAAAGCAGTATGGTGTGTGCCCCTCAAAATAACCAAGTTAAGATGTGAGATAGTGCCAAAGCACAGTTAACAGCAGCATGCTATGCTTATAATAAAAACAGAAATGCAATGGCGTCAGATAAACACAACCATAAAATGAATCACAAGTGGACAAACTGAGCTTTCAGAAGAGTTTCTAATGACAGAAGCTAGAGGCATAAGATATGTACTTAATAAGGAAACAGGGCATTTGGGTCGACAAAGAAAGACCCTGCCATTTTCTCAAAGTTCAAATTTAATTGTGTAAAGCTAAAGGCAAAGTAAATAGACAAAGGCCCCAAAATAGAAGAAAAAAGACAACATTCACATAAGTTAGAATTTTCTCAAAACGCCCACAAGATAAGTATAATGAACAGGCACAGAGCATAAAGTTCCAGAAAGGCATTACTTCTTTTTATAGGCAAAACTAGTTTAGTATGTATCACATGGCTTTTTAAAAATTAACTGAAAACATTTAAAACTAGGAGAAAAAAAGACTGTCAAGCAACTTCTGAAAGCTAGCACAGTCCTTGTAAGTATCAGAAAGGATACCTCAGATAATAGTTTGAATATGTTCCTTTACAAATATTTTAGAAGGTACATAACATTTTTAAACCAATTTCATGTGGTTTCGAATGAACTGAAAAAATCCATAACATTCCAATACTTATACAAGAAGCGGTCTTACAGTTGTCTAAAAATTACAGGTGAACAACCTTTTAACATTAAATCATTATTAGTGTGCCCTGTTACATATAATTCCCTTTGAAAAGCAAAGAGTAACTGTCTAACAACTTTCTGTGCACAGATTTTAATATATTTCACTAAGTATTTCTGTAGGCCTCTTAAGCTTCCTACACATACACATACAACAAATACCAGGAAAATACGCTAATATTCAGAATGTTTTGTCATGATCGTTTTCTTTTCCTTTTGTAAAGATTACCATCTAGAGTACATCCTGGGATCTACACAGCAAAATTTCTGTGCAGTTGGTCTCTGATTCTCATGGCCTCAGTGGTAATACAGCTGACACAGAGTGTCAGCAGCCATAACCTTCTCACCACATACCTTCTCCCCGCCACCACCAGCACTGCAAATTCCAAATTAAAAATCCCACCGTCCACTTGAATGTATAGCATATTCAATATTTTTTGCCAGAAGCATCAAAATAAAAATAGACTTCTGGTTAATCTCTTGCACTAGGAATACGACTGCCCAAACCACTCAAATCCTTATATTCAAATTAAGGGTTTTAAATCAAAAACACCTGGTAAAGCATTTCCAAACACTTTAGCATTATTTTAAACATGCAAACAGTTCAAGCATTATTAAAACATTTGATGCATTTTAAAAAGGCATTTAGTTCAAAGCATGTCATTATTCTTACATACGAATGAGAAAATGTTGATGGTATATGTTTCCCTAATTTTTTTTGGTACTTCTAATAGGTTTTTCTTGGACCACTGAGTTGGTTCTTAATACAAGCATCCATATATAAATACAAATTACATATTTTCAGTTCTAAAGAATTAAGTTTGAACAAGACTTTACCAATATTCTTGCACAGTGGATCGCTGCAAATATCAGACTGTCTCAACCTTTCTTAAGCTCCTTTACAATTAGAATACCTAGGGTTTTCTGCATTGAAAAAAATTTCATATAGATAACAATTTTAGTAAACATTTTCAGAAATATATTTTATGGAAATACACAGAATTAAACAAAACTTTTTCAGTAGTTTCTTAGAGTTCCTTGACCCAAGTTAAATTAGAAGAAAATAAATTACCCAACCTCACAGTAATAAACACTAAAACTTAAAATCCCAAGTGGCCTAACCTGACTGTCAGCCATGAGTGAAGACAGGCTGCTGGGAACCTCAGAAAACGGGGCCAATAAAGTGTTGGATTATTTATTCCCAAAGCCTCATTTTGATTTCCATTTATGTGAACACTACTCTGTCCATTTAGAGGCTGACATCAGTATCATGCAAAAAGGATGTGGTGGTTCAAAAAACTTCCATCACTCCGTAATTGTGGTGGGAGGGGAGCACAGATACACAACCTCCTCTGACTGTGACCACCAAACTCAGGGCCAAAGAATTCCATCCTGCGGCTGTGGTGTAATCCCAGCACTCAGGGAGGCCAAAGTGGGTGGATCACGAGGTCAGGAGTTCCAGACCAGCCTGGCCAACACAGTGAAAGCCCATCTCTTCTAAAAATTCAAAAAATCAGCCAGGGGGCTAAATTAGGTGGTAGGAGCCTGTAATTCCAGCTATTTGGGAGGCTGAGGCAGGAGAATCGCTTGAACCTGGGAGGCAGAGATTGCGGTGAGCTGACATCATGCCATTGCACTCTAGCGTAAGCGACGAGTGAAATTCTATCTCAAAAAAAAAAGCATTTCATTCTACCTATTGTCTCTTAAAGAATTAAATTAAATTAGAAATTTCAAATTTATGTGTGAAAAGGCCACTAAGTCCTTGCATATAATAGCTGGAAATACTTGATGATGAACTTTAAAGTTTCACTTCATTATCCAGCACTACACAAGTCACAAAGGTATTACTAAGTGATACTGACCTTTTTATATGGCACAAGCCAAGAAAGTAAAGAGAAGAAAGAGCTATAGAAAGAAATACTCAATTTTGCAGGCCTACCTTAAAGAACTGTCAGAAACAGAAACAACTGCTGTGTTGCACAGAAACAAATCATCATAGCGTAAGGCATTTTTCATAACAGCTGGCCTTTTCTGGGATGTTCACATGTATACTAGGCCCCCATTTATCTTTGCTGAAAGTCAGTCATATAGAAAACTCAAAACAATACAATGATGCCTAAAAATTGTTACGACTTTGGCTACATTCACTCAAATTCGTAAAGAAAACAAGAAACTGAATTTTCTTCACGTATTTTAAAAGAAACAGAATTTCATTATTTCTATATATTATACACTGCAGGCTAACCAAAGGTGAGTGAGTAGACTTCTTTGGCTTAAGAGAAGGTTAATTTGTTGTTGATGTGTGCACTGTATCAAACAACTACTATTAAAGTTTTTTTTTTTTTTTTTAACTTATCCAGTGAATGTATTCCACTTAAATGGTACTTCAGTACTCAATAAATATTTACTATGGACATTACAGTCAGACAATGTGCTAAGCACACAACATGCATCAGTGAATAAAAAGCATAAACCTATGGTACCCGCTAAATGTCAACATCACAATCGTGTCATTCTATGGGGCCCTGGACTCTTTGTAAGTTTGACCTTTCAGTCTAAAAACAACATACTTGACAAGTAGACACCTTACATCCCAACTTCACAGGTAAATAAAGAAAGCTAAGAGGGTTAAGTGTATTTCCCAAGGTCAGGAAAGATAGCAACTGATGGAAGGAGTATGTGAACTCAGACAACTCGATGTCGAAGTCCAGGCTCTGAATCTGTGAAATCTGCCGTCCCTCATCTCAATCGCAGAATAACAGATCCTAAATTCTGAATTAGCCATGTTCAAATTATGTGGACTTCCCACCCACCTCCCACCAAAAAAGGGCTCTAATACAAGAATTACCTCCTATTAAACAAATGCCCGTTCCTTGAATGTCTATACACTACAACTTCTGTGCTGAGTGGTAATAGCCAAGCTGGGATTAAAGAGCTGCACTATATAATGCGTAAGTCTGATAATCAAGTCACTGCGTGTACACATGAATGCGTGCACAAAACGTGTGTGTAATGAAGTCACTATGTGAGGGTATCTCCCACCATTATCTATGGTCCTAATAAGAAAAGAAGACATAATTACTCATCCTCAATAAGTTTTCATCACAAAAGAGGAGGAAATAGCTTCTTGCTACTTTTAATCCATTTTTAGGAAACTAAATTTGGTGGAGGGAGCACCATCTCAATGGCAAGTTGAACCTAAGGTGAAGTTAATTTCTCTGCAGCCCTTCTTCGGTTGGAGTGTCAGGGAAGGCATGAATAAAGGGTGATGAGTAGCAAACAACTTATGAGTACAGACCAGGGATCAGACAGAAATTCCCAGTGTTTGTCCTCCAGCTGCTCACATTTGACAATGAAACAATGAGAGGGATATGGCTTTAAGTGATTAATAACTTGGCCCCCACATTCACGACAGCAATGGAAATGTGCATTCTCAAGGTAACTAGTAGTACACATCCTTAGCTATTCCACATTCAGAACTAGCACTTAGAAGGCATGCTGTTAGGAACACAAATGATACAGTAGTACTCTCATCCATGCGGAGCTGTAACAGTACATTGAGCCCAGCGAACCTTCAGCTAGAAACACCTTAACATCCCTAATCACATATCCCCAACTCTAAGGAATCTCTATATCAGGTTTAACTTTAAGGACATTTTTCCCAGTTTTAACAAAACAGTTAAAAATGAATCAATGTTATTACCCCAAAATCGTACCTATAACAGCTACATATAGTACCCTAGAAACTCATTTGGTGTTAAGTCTATGTAACTTCAGGAAACCAAAAAAAGCATGTTTTCCTCTACTGTATGAATGACAGCAGTACAGGTATCCACTCTGAATTTCCATGGAGAATATTACAGGAGTGAGTTTGATTATTTGTGAATAAAGAAAGGTAGGAACTGCTACAAGGAACTACTACACAAGGAACTCCTCAGTGTCATACTGAATAAAAATTACTGTCTCAATGACCTTGTTAGCATTCTCAGACTCCACAATTATTTCCAAATGGCAAATTATTTGTATTATACTTCATAACTGGGTTTCCATAAAAAATATAATTCTACTGTTTTTTGTAAACACACAAAAGAAATCATTTCTTTTAGAACTAAAAGTGACTGTCCTTCTCCTTGTCAATCCTATTCAGAATGTTCTCCAAAGAATACTGACAACCAGTAATGCCAGAAGTTGTCTCTCCACTTAGAATCTAAGATCACTGAGAAAATGAACAATATTTTACACTTCTTCAGTCCCCTTTAAGGTGCTGAGTTCAATAAAGAAACAAAGCAGGTATTCAGTAAACGCCTGTGGAAGGCCCTGCTTATAGCCCAAAACATTCCTATTTGCACTCTGTGATACAATGCTCCTGGATGATATTGACTCATTCAGAACAAAACTCTCAAAGTAACTAAGTCACATGGTGGCCTATAAAAGCTATAAGAGGGCAGCAGAAGGGTTGGAGATGTTAATCTGGCTCTTTCCATTGCAATTAATGAAGAACCACTCAGAAGGAACAGGATAATCTAAGAATCCAGTGGGAAGAATATCCGCGCAGTGGGACCCAGGAGAGTCCAGGAAAAGGTGGCTGTGCACGCACTCCCCTTGGCAGTCTACTGCTCTGCCCACAGCTCCCCCATCCTCTGCTTTTCCTACTTTCCTACCCTACCTTGTGAGCTTGCCTATGCCAGCCCCAACCTTGCTCTTGTCATTAAGGTAATTCTTTTTTTATTTTTAATTTTTACAGATTATATATAAAGGTAATTCTTGAATTACCTATTCGCCTTTCCTCTCTAATGACTGCCTCAGTCTCTCAGTTTCTCAATTCAAATTGTAAAAACAAAATTTGACTCAATTAATCTTTTCATGCCAGGCCACAAGGATCACAGATTGTCATTCTGTATTATTATTCCTTCAAAAAGCTAAATAAAGATTTTTGCCAGCTATTTTACTATTTAGTTCAGAAATCTACGGTGCAAAGCATCCTTTTTAATTAATGATACTTCTTTCTCTTGCTTCTAAATACCCACTGTCCATAATTCTACCTCTTCCATTTGCTTAAGCTCAGGCTTTTGACTGCTTGTTCCATAGATACCTTGGTCAGTGCATTCAAACACAATCAGATCTCTCCATTTTTAAATAAGTCCAATCAAATGAATACTTCCTAAGCGAATGAAAGCTTCCTAATGGAATACATAATTCAGTACCTTTAAAACCTCAGTTGAGTTAGGAGTTTAATTACTTGATACTACCCTGTGTAAGTGTGGGCTCGAAATACACCTACCAGTGTAGGCATGGTAGTGTCCCTACGTGTTTTGATGTTAAATAATTTTTTGGGGGGAGAGACAGAGTCTCCCTCTGTCGCCCAGGCTGGAATGCAGTGGTGTGATCTCGGCTCACCACAACATCCACCTCCTGGGTTCAAGCGATTCTCCTGCCTGAGTCTCCTGAGTAGCTGGAATTACAGACACACACCATCACGCCTGGCTAATTTTTGTATTTTTTGTAGAGACGGGGTTTCACCATGTTGGTCAGGCTGACCTCGTGATCTGCCTGCCTCAGCCTCCCAAACTGCTAGGATTACAGGCGTGAGCCACCGCGCCCGGCCAATGGTTAAATATTAATAAAGCAGAAGCCATGGATCCTATCCCCATAGGCAAAATAACCACAACCTATCATCCATACTCAGACATTTCTGAGAGTGAAAGGGGAGGCTGTTTAATAAATACTTTAGCAAGACAACAGACAGGGATTAGGACATAGAGGCAGCTGTGTTCTATACCACAGACTTGGATTCTAATGGAATACAGCAGCAGAGCCTAGAAGACAACCCAGGTCCCCACATAAAATACAAAGACCCTTCTCTTTATCTTATGTAGAACTCTTTCATGAAATGTGACCCTAGGCCCTCAGTTCAATAAACTGTCATTATGCTAGTCTCCTCCTCCTCCACTTCACACCTCATTTAGCTTTTGTTGTCTTTAACATTGTAATCATATCATACAGGACATTCATCCAGTTATGTTTACAGTCCCGAAACATACTTTATACTCAAAATTTCACCATGGCCAAGGGATTCTCATTTATAATATTAATAATGAAACATATCTCAGTTACAACCCCAAATCAACTTTTTATTTTATGATTGTTAAAAAAAATACCTAATTACTCAACATTTCAAAGCTAGCCACGTTATTTGCTGTGAGCAAAACCAAATTCAATTTCTTCTCCTTTTTAAAATCTTGCAGAGAAACAAAGCTTATTTCCTTTTGCTCATCTTTTTCCCTTATAGCTTCAGTAAACTGAGGGAGAAAAAAAATCTTGATTATTTTCATCTACTTGATTATCTTTTAATAAGCACAGAGAGGCAAGAAAGTAGAAATAACTATATTTTTTCCAAGAGCAAATATTTCATCATCTGTTATTCTTACACAACTATGAGGATGTGCTATATACAGAACCTCAAACAAAAACATAAGAAATGGCAGTGTATGACTTAGAAAAAGGTATCTAAACATATTGCACCCTATTTCCCAGATTGTTTTTGTAGACAGTTTTAATGTGTTGTATTAGACCAATACTGATAACAGAAGCTTCAGCTTTTATTGCTGTTAATACCCTGAGCAATTACTGCCCAGAACAGCAACTATCACATTGTAATCAGCAATTCATAAGAGATGCTGTTCAAACATGAAGGCACCTGCTAATGTGCAAAAACTGTACAAAGGGGCCTCAAGATCTAATAGGTAAAATGAAAATATTTGTAATGAAAATATTTGTAATTTTATTTCACAGCTATATGGTGCACTGATATTTGGTTTAGTAAAAATTACACACAAAGACAATAGTCAGGAAAAGGGCAGTAGCAGCAGCCACTACTAAAACAAAACTCTTCAGGAATAAGGATACGCCTGTATTTCAGGTGTCAGTACTATATCTGTATTTAAAAAAAAAAAAAAACTTAGGAAGGAAAGATATAATAGCAAAGATCTCTAAAAATGTTTTTTTTTAAATTCACATTGACATAAAAACAGAAAGCATTTGCTTCACGAGATTAAACTGCAAGGCCACCTTGCAAAGCAACTCAGAAAGTTAAAAGCTGCCTATCAAGAATAGATAAATCTTAGAAGTAAATGGCACATTTGACTTTGTCTTAAAACCGTAAGCATGCAGTAACTTATGCAATAACTTTTTAACAAAGAAAAATAAATGACACATGATTTTTTTACTGAATATACTAAATTTGGTATTTGGGTTATTAAAAATGATTAAAAAATAAAGGAGATGCAGAGGAAGATCTTTTCAAATTACATTTCTTTAGACTGAAATACCACGTCCAATAACATATCTCAGAACACAAATATCGTCAAATTACAAAGGGTGTTGAAAATAAGAGCAGTCACAGATACTGATAAACATCTCTATAAAACTAAGGAATTAGGAATTCTCCACACCTAAAAGTACAGACAGTGGTTCACAATCTTCAAAGTACTAGGATCCCTTGTAAGATCAAAATATTTCAAAAGATTCCCTAATGATACTACTTCGGTAGTATTTCAAATACCAATTGTTTGAGGAAAATGCCTAACAAATAGTGGTTCTTGCCAGGTGCAGTAGCTCACACTTGTAATCCCAGCACTTTGGGAGGCCAAAGCAAGCAAATCACTTGAGGTCAGAAGTTGGAGACCAGCCTGGCCAACATGGTGAAATTCCATCTCTACTAAAAATACAAAAAAAAATATTAGCCAGTCATGGTGGCACGCGCCTGTAATCCCAGCTACTCAGGAGGCTGTGGCAGGAGAATCACTTGTTCTCGGAAGGTGGAGGCTGCAGTGAGCCAAGACTGAGCCACTGCACTCCAGCCTGGGCGACAGAGTGTGACTCTGTCTCAAACAACAACAACAAAATAGTCGTTCTTAACTGTGTTTTGGTCTTAAATAAGTGAATTTTTAAAAATCATAAAAGCATACTGAAACAGGCTAAAAAATCATTGTCCAGACATGTATGAGATCGATTTATTTATATAAAACCTAGAATGTTTATTTGCAGACCTCTGCCAAATCTCTGGAAACATCCAGGGATCCAAAGCCTAAAGTGTGGGAACCACTGTTCTAAAAAAAGAGATTTCATAATGGGCAACATCAACACTTATATATTCAGGCGGAGTTTTTAATGAGAAAGTACGGTAGCTATGTTCTCATTTCTGCAGCACATGCACTAAAACTGGAAAGAAAGTATAACAGCTTTAGCATGCCCAAGCCAGACTTCTCGCAACCTCTACCCTGGGAAACCCCCACAACAATTCAACATAGGCTCCACACCAGCCGAAATATTGAAGGAAGTGACAGGTTTCCACTGGAAACTATTATCTGACCTGTTTATATTATTTTCCCTACTCATCAATTACTTTACTTCAGGCTCTTAACAAGGCTGAGAAGAAACAAACTACTTCAGGAATTCAAGGGAATCTCTGAAATTGTCAAAACAGTTACTAAAGGGATAAAAACTTCAGAAATACTGTTTACAATATGAGCATTATGACAGTAAGTGTTAGAAAGCTGAAAAGATGGAACTAGTAACCCTCATTTTAGTGCTACTGCCATGAGGTAGTTCGCACTCAAAAGGTGAACTGGTAACCACGTCAACAGCGATGGAGTAACAATCAGAAGAGATAGCCAATGGAACTGGAAAAAGAGAATACAGAGCAGAGTGAACAGCACATTAAAAACGCTTACCAGTTTGAAGTCTTGAATGCTACAGATGAAATACGGTGTGTTTGGCCTCCGACTCTCGATATACACACAGTCTTTAAAAGAAAAAGAAATTTTAAAACAATGGCATTTACCTTTAAGGGAACAAAGACAGGGCCCATAAAGCCACTGCATAAATAAATAAATGACAAGGCACATATCTTTATTGTAACTTTTTTCCTAAAGATGATATTAAATCGCTAATAACTTTAGGTTAAAGGAAAACAGGCATTTGGTTCTTTCTGAATATTTTTCTACTGATTTAAAGAATCTGATGAAGCCTAAATTATTTTCTTCAGAGTCCCTGAAGAAAAGGGGAAAGAATCCACGGGATTATCCATATTCAGATGAAGACATTTAGATAAAAGAAATTGCCTGCTCAAGATCACACATCAAGATGAAATCCTGAGTATCTTATTCAGATAGATGCTCCTATCCCTTCAAAAAAGAGAAATATAAGCTTTGCCAAGTGCTACTATATTTGTAATAAATATTTTGTGGGGAAATAAATGAAATACACAAAGATGACTAGCTTGAACATGCTAATACAATGACCTTTTCAACTAACCAAAAAAGAGAAAGAAATCTAATCTAATCTCTTATAGACAATTTGCTATTACACTGTACCCTAAACACATTTTATTTTCTAATTGTAAACAAAAGCAATGTTACTAATCAGAGATGGAATAAAGGAAACCAAATTACATTTTCTTCAGGGAAGAAGAATGCTTTCTTAAATTACATTTGACATGGCAGTGGTTGGATAATAATTTTTGACGCTTTCAATGACTGGAGTGTAAAGGGTTTTTTTTTTTTTTTTTTTTGGCTTGGGCTCAAAGCCAATCCTCCCACCTCCTGGGCTCAAGCAATCCTCCCACCTCAGCCTCCCAACGTGTTGGAATTACAGGCACTCAGCACCATGCTTGGCCAAGGTTGCTTTTTAAAACGGCATGTTAAGACACTTAAACAAAAGGCAATGATTTTAAAGAAAGCAGTGGCTACAGAGAGAGGTAACCTCGTCCCACCCCCATATCACAACCTGAGATCATCATAAAGCTTAGCACAGGAAAGTCTATGTGTTATTTACTGAAAAGCAAGGACACAGTCAATCAAATCTAGGAAGAGTGACCTTAATGCCTCATTCATCCACTCATTCATTTTTAATAGGAAGGGCCTCACTATGTTGCCCAGGTTAGTCTCAAACTCTTGGGCTCAAGCTATCCTCCTGCCTGGGCCTCCCAAAGTGCTGTGATTACATGTGTTAAGGCACCATGCCCAACTCACAATGCCACTCATTTTGCACTTCCTCTTGGCCCTTCAGAATGGGTGTGTCTTAGAACAATTCAGGTGCTTGACAACACAGGCAAATTCCTCTATTGCCTCATGCGTCTTATGTGTTAAGAGCCAAGGAAAAGCACAGAAGTGGCAAATGGAAGTCATCACAAGCCCTAGCAGCCTCACTAAGACGATTACGAAGAAAGTCCTCACAAAAGGGTACATTCCAAGAAACTTTCTGCAGAACATCAGGATCTTTGTACCTACCCAAAAGACACTCCAGAAAAAGAAGACATCTCAATGCCAACTATTCAGACATTCGGAATTCCCCAACTGGTTTCTCTACTCAAAGGTGGACTCAACAGAGATTTAATCCCTGAATCCATGTAAAACAGTCACTGAATCCATGTAGAATCCCTGAATCCATGTAAAACAAGATAGGGAAGGCTCAGTCAACAGTTCACTCCTGCTGACTTGAGCTTTCCCTATCTTGTTCCAGGGTCCCAGATGCTGAATAACTCTGCTTCAGCATTCAGGCAACATCAACTTAACAAGCTAATCATCTTAAGGGACATGCAAGAGAATTCTTCCCACCCCAGTAGATCATTCTTTCATACTCCTACCTTGGTATTCAAGTAAAAACTGAAGAAACTCAATTCCCTAGATAAAAACTGTAGCTCCAAATCACACAATTTTGGAACAACCCAAAGTTCTTAGTTTCCTGTGTTTCAGTCCCTGTTGTACCCACTGTCAGCATTTCAAATCTCTAGTCATCAATTATTTACTCATCTTACTCAACTCAATATGCCCTCTCCTTTCTGTTGCTTTCTATATACTATATTTCATGACATTAACATCATCACAGTCTAGCTACTGACAGAGCGGAAGCATCGCCATCTTGGACAAGCACCGTCATTTTAAAGTACCCCCTGATCAAAAACTGCCGAAATCCAACCCAAAGGGCATCAGCCTAATGGCTAATGTTATCATGACCATAAACCACAAGTGACATCTTGGATCAGAAACACTCCAACTCTAAGATAAACCCCTCTCCCACCAGAGACATTCCAGCCCCGAGATAACCTCCCCTCTGGCTGGAGAGATGTCAGCCCCGAGACATTCCAACCCCACAATAAACTTCTCCTCCACAAAGAAACATTCCAGCCTGTGATAAGCTCTCTCGACCTAAACCTTTAAATATTCTCAGTCTGCAAGACAGAGTGCTCCTGACCAAAATCAGCCAGAAGCTCCTCTCAGGTTTATTCTCCAAAATGAACCGTTTTTAACTGTTGGGCGCTTTTAGCATTTCTTTCCTCATTCTTTAATTTTACAGCTACTATTCACTGGCTTCAGAACTAATAGGCCCCCCTCCCTTTTTTTTTTTTGAGATGGAGTCTTGCTTTGTCGCCAGGCTGGAGTGCAGTGGTGCAATCTCCGCTCACTGCAACCTCTGCCTCGCAGGTTCAAGCCATTCTCCTGCCTCAGTCTCCCAAGTAGCTGGGATTACAGGCACGCCACCACGCCTGGCTAATTTTTGTATTTTTAGTACAGACAGAGTTTCACCATGTTGACCAGGATAATCTCTATCTCTTGACCTCATGAGCCACCCACCTCAGCCTCCCAAAGTGCTGGGATTACAGGTGTCAGCCACCACACCCAGCCTCATAGGTCTCTTTCTAATTAATTACTTTTATCTTAAGGCTCAAGTGACAAAAAAACTTGCTGCATTCAACAATCTGGTCTCATTCCACACCCCATCTTTCCCTAGGCTGCATTTACTACAAGAAATCCCAACTCTACTCCCAGTCTGTGCAAAACTCTTTCTTCTCTCCTTCTACCAATCCCTGATCACACCAACCTTAGAATTAGTTATTACATAGTTCCATATGCACTAACTTCTCATGGCTCCTCTGTAACTAAATGGCAACATCTCCCTTCTTTTACATAACATTAGCAATTTATACTCCTTGTGTGTTATTTGGCAATCAGGTGGTCTGCACTGTCCACTATCAATTACTATCGATCTTGTAAGCTCAGAGAAATGTACTCAAGTCTACCTTCCCTGTACTCACCAAGGACTAAAGTCTGCCATTAGTGTGGGGCTTTAAAAAAAAAAAAATAAAGCCAAAGCAGGTGGATCACCTGAGGTCAGGAGTTCAAGACCAGGCTGGCCAACATGGTGAAACCCCATCTCCACTAAAAATACAAAAATTGGCCAGGCATGGTGGTGCACACCTGTAATCACAGCTATTCGGCAAGTCAAGGCAGGAGGATCCGTGAACCCAGGAGGCAGAGGTTGCAGTGAGCTGAGATCATCCCACTGTACTCCAGCCTGGAGGACAGAGTGAGACTGTCTCAAGAAAAAAAACAAAACTGAAATAAATGGGAGATGCTTAGAAAGCAAAGACTATGTACCATGTTTTTCTTTTTACACAAAGAAAAGCTTTTTAATATATACTTTAAATAATCTATAGGATCATTATTACTACACCAGCATCTTACTCTAAGACATAAAGCTAGCTTATACATAAAAAAGCTTGCCAGAAAAAGGAAAGAGAACCTATGTTCTTTCATTTCAAACACCAAAGTTACATTCAGGAGAAGGATTGCCTGTAAATACACTAGGATATAGCTCTGTTAGAGAAGGAAGGAAAGGAACATGCTGGTATGTCAAGGGCAGCCAAGGACATTTGTTTGCTTAAACACTTCTCAGCAGTTGGACTGGAGCTGCCTCACACACCTGGCCTGAGAAACACTGCCATGAGGGATAAGCATGAGAGAGATCCTCAACAGGACATATGGAACACTATTACTGTTTATTACATTAAAAGTCACCTCTTTTTGTTTAAAAAGCTACCATGGTAACTCAAACTGATCCAAAGCTGTGAATTCATATCAGACAGTCCAATATACAAGGCTAATAATCTGTAAAATGGGTGACTGCATCAAGTGATCCCTATTAGTACTTTAAAACGCATATATGAAAAAGTTAGATAAGCTCACTGCAAAATTAAGTGACAAAATTTAAAGAGTGTACAGCTGGAGAGTAGAAATTTAAAAAAAAAAAAAGACTCTACATACATAGTCATAAAACACAGAATGGCTAAGATGGGGTAAAATAAGAACTAAAAATGGTTCACACTATGTAAAACTTGCCATAGGAATGGGGAAAAAATACATTGCTTTGACCTGATTTGTCTAAGTCAGTTTTAAAATCAAAGCACGACAAATTATTGTAGAGTCAACCTTTTCTTTATAACCCTCTGACAAATATTAAGATGACCCAACAAAAAATAAACACAATGGCCGGGTATGGTGGCTCATACCTGTAATCCCAGCACTTTGGGGGGCTGAGGTGGGCAGATCATGAGGTCAGGAGATCAAGATCATCCTGGCTAAAACGGCGAAACCCCATCTCTACTAAAAATACAAAAACTTAGCTGTGCATGGTGGCACATACCTGTAATCCCAGCTACTCGGGAGTCTAAAGCAGAATCCCTTGAACCCGGGAGGCAGAGGCTGCAGTGAGCCAAGATCAAACCACTGCACTCCAGCCTGGGTGTCAAAACGAGACTCAATCTCAAAAAAAAAAAAAAAAAAAGTTTAGAATTCAACTCTCACAGAAAAAAATTCCACTTTATATTACTCTTAAAAATATTCAAAACAAGGTTCAATTAAAGCCAAATTCTCATATAAGAAGTAATCTCCTTGGCTCATTAATCAAGCAGCTATTTAAGAAAATAATTTATATAAATGTTTATAGTTAGTACAAAAATAAAGT